ACTTTGTCAGTTTCGCAACCACTTTTTAAAAACGGAGGTACTCGTAGACGCACAATTGCACCTGCACATCAAGCCTCGAACCCTTGGCCACGCCCACTTCGCATCTTTATGCAAAATTTTAGTCTTCAAGAATGTTTACATTTTTGGACTGCCACAGGAAGCCACCGATCACCATACGAATGTAGAAGCCCCGTCCACCTTTGAAAAATGATTAGAATCGGCAGTTTAGAGCCGAACAAGCATGCTGAGGTCTCGCTCGCCACTAAGATGAAAAACCAGGCAAAGTTTGTTCTCTAGCGACGAGCGAGACCTCAGCACGCCTGCACACAAAAACTGTCAGTCCGCATCATTTTTCAAAAGTGGGCGGAGCTGCTACAAAGTTGGCGGAGTTTCCCATGGTGGGCGGAGCTTCCTGTAGCAGTCCAGAAAATTCTGACAAAAATTTCACAAAAATATGCGTGGCGAATGGGGCGGAGCTTAATGTCTCGGTGCATAATTGTGCGTCTACGCGTACCTCCGCTCTGTAAAGAGTGGATGTGAAATTACTAAAGTTGAAAAATGTTGTGAAAATTCGACATTTGCTACGAACTCTTTGTAAAATGGGCCGATGCGGCCATGTGTCGATGTCCAGTTCTTTTCAGTGAAAGTGTATGTGCGAAATAGCCATAACAAAGTCGTAGAAGCAGGAGTCATGGAACAAAGTTCAAAAATTTATGACCGTGCTGACAAGTAGACATGGCCGCCGATCGCGCTGGGCACCATCGCGAGGCGGGGCTCGCGATGGTGCCCAGCGCGATCTGACTGACGAATTGTTCGTCTGAAAAATGCGGTGAAGTATGTTTGCGAAAAGTTTTGTTTCGAAAGATGGTGAATCTGGTTTGAGAAGTGGTGAAATTGGTTTGCAAAAAGGTAACTCTGGTTATAAAAGTGGTCAGTATGGAGTGAATGGTTTATGTGTTTATCGCTTATTCTATCTTCAAGTTTCCGTTCAGTCAATAATAATCTATAACTCTTCAGACAAAAAATAGCCACGCTCCTCTCAAGAAGAAGAAAGAAGACAGCTTAAACGAAACACTTGAATCTCACCTCACATGATTAGATTACCTGAAAGGAGAATTATTTCGTGCAGAGGGCAGGCAGGTCCGCTGGCATGAAAGTTCGATTTCCGCCACTTTCTCCAATTGAAAGTCTGTGGCACTGAAGCTGGAGACTTGCTTTAAGCAGCAGTGGCTATACGTGCCCCTTGAAAGGCACGGTCCGCGACCGCTATAGGAGTTGAAAACATGGCGTTGGGAGGGTAATGTGGTCCGCGACAAACAACCTTATACTAATTTCAAATTGCAGCAAAAAATTTGTAAGGGAGGGGCGCTGCAGCGCAATACAGGTTCAGTGACGCCTCCTTTCTTTTTAAGTGACTCACCTCCAGGCGTCTGCTCAAAGGCCGCCTTTTAGTGAAAAACGATATCGGGGAACCAGCTGTGCAGATGGGGGCGTAGTATTGGAAATGGAGTTAATCGGGCACCTACAGAGTAAGATACTCAGGGCAGTTTCATGTTTTTTGCTGCTTTATTCTTCACTATCGAATTACACAGCACCTAACCTCTATGCAAACCCCTTATCTACTATCTGTGATGGCGGATGATCGCCTACTTTGCCTCAAAGCGATTTCTCTGTAAGGCCTCCTACAGGGCTACATACCGTGGCGTAATGTCGGTTTTCGTGAGTGAGCGCTCCCATCCAATGCGATGCACCTCCTACACCTCCGCACCGGTCGTCGCCGTGCATCCATGGTTGCGTGGGATGAGCCACGGTAGAGCCAAAGAATCCATTGCGTGACCTATGCCCTCATCCAGTTCGCCTCTTCATGACTTCGATAACTAACCATGTGAGGCAGCATGTGAAGAGCATGTAGCATGTATTTCATGATGTTTTGCTTATTGAAAAGATAAGCAGGCATACAGGCAGCGTTGCCATGCCCCTTAAGAACTGATATTGTTCTGGAATTTCGCCCACACGCCCGATTCCTCTAGCTCTGTGTATACGGAAACACCAATCCTAACAGAAAACATTTTAGCCATACTAAAAATGTTCAGGTTGTGAAATATTTATATCAATATTATGTATTAGAGTGATAAGTGACGAGAACGAACAATGCCTATGAACATACAGAGTAAGAAAGTTCGTGTGTTATGAGATATCTGAGCAGTGAGTTCTGTACTTATATAAGTTACTAGAACACTGATTCCTTCACACCTGTCTAAATGAATGCTGAGCAATCGAAATGAGTGAACAAAATTATATTGTCCTAAATAGTCATTAGGCATCGATTGCTCGTGCAACATGGCACGTCAGCTGAGGTGTACCTTCGGTGCAGAACTCGTCAGCTGAGGACTGGAATACTGCCTCTCCTTGCACGCAGGAGACCAAGTATCTGCAAAGGAACTCGCGTTCCATTTTGAGACATCCATTTCGTAACTGTCTAAGTAAACAATGGCGGGGAAGGTGTAGTGGTGGAGCGTATGGGCGATCTCGGTGGTCCGTGCAGTAAACCAGGTTCAGCTCCCGCATGGACCGACTGGGCGTTCTATCCTGAGGGGAGCCAAATTGGCACCAGGTTTGTCTGGGAGGATAAGAACACTGAATTGTGCATCGGTTGTCCTCCCAATTCCTTGCACAGGCTACAGCTTATTCAAGAAAAACGTGCCGGTGCTAGAAGGGAATGATTAACTACGGAAGCTCAATCCTTCGAAGGGCGGTTGGCCTGCAGTGCTCCAAGAGGACGTTGGCCTCAGGGAATCTGTACCAGAATGTTATGAGCCTGCAGGGCATGAATAATTCATTGTCTGAGTTGATCTTACGAGGAACACTTACCGAGTCTCTCCATGCTTCTTCTTCAATGCTTCAGCGATGTTGGTGCGTGATTCACCGACTTCGTTGCGCATTCCCTGTAAAGAAAAATACTATCGAGGGGAACGAAGCTAATCCTCTCCGGAATATTTTTTCGAATACGATCGATCCCTTCGCAGGGCACACTTTTTTTGTTGAACTTCATATATTCACTAATCCCAACAGTACCGAGGATGTGCCCTCGATGCGCTTCGTAGCCTATTTCTGGAATAAACAATCGCTTGTGAGGTAGAAACGATCCTATTTGCGCGATATCTCGGCCCGAACCCCATGTAGTGTGTCACTTCCCTCCGAAGAGGGTTATAAGGATACGACGGGCTGACAATTCAGAAGTCTCTTAGCGATCTTTGATATTGCGGTGCATACCGTATCGAACCCTCTCATCCGTTGCCTTTGGCTCCTCGACCGCTCGGCTGATTTTTGTCGCCTCTCACCTAGTGCATCCCATTGTGAGCTGCAGAGCCTCAAACTGTATGTTTTGAAAAATTTCTTCTATTGTCAACTCCTACACTTTTACCGCAGTAGTTACGGCGTGCGCTCGTGCAATGTGCCTTCAAAGGCACGACGCGTTCTTTAGGTCTATGAATGAGCGATACACAAGCGCTTGCCCAACGCTAGTTCCACCAGATTTACTTTTCTGAAGTGAGGACAACTCCGAGTTCTCCCTTGAGGCCTTTTCAGTGAACGGCGAACACTATGCAAATCCAAGCAAAATTGACGAAAACATGTGCCCTCCTCAGACTGCCTACTACGGCATTGTAGCACGCATATTCAAAAGTATAGTTGTTCGTTCTCCGAGGGCCCTGCCTTAAAGTTTCATAACCCCATAGGGGGGGGGGAGTGTGGCCCCACACGAACATGGCATAGGATGCTTTTTCCATGAAATGTATCTCTTTGGGGCAATAGTCATCTTGTTTGATGCTGGACAAGAACCGCGTACTAAGCCTGTACAGGCAACTCACTTGCTTACGTGTTTCAAAAATCCAAGGTATTTTGTTGCTCGAACCATCAATGCAAATCATTCTAATCATTTGGCATTTTTGTTGTAAATTTATTTCCCACTACATATCTTCCCCTTTATATTTTCCCAAGTTCCAATCGAAATAGTAATTGCATGACTGGCAACTCACGGCGAGAATCAGCTTTCGCAGCTCTGGATCCGTGCATTTGGCATCGCCATTCACCGCCCTCTTCTTGCGACCTCCTCCACATCCACCGCAGCATGAACTGCATGGTGTGATTATATTGGGCAGCTGAAAAGGTATCGTTTCAATTCACGATAAAAAAGTTAAATATATTGCACTGCTTTCTGGCAGTCTCTCTAATGACTAAAAGAGTTCTAGGGTTTAAGAGAGAGTACGTTTGACAATATTATATGAGTTCCCTTCGCCTGGTTGACTTTCAACTATTTGTGCGGTCTATTTCTCCCATCTTTCGACCAGATTTCACAGCTGAATCCATTAGCGGTGGCAGCAATATCTGATCTTTGGAGGCACGGCGAAAGTACGAAGTGTTCCCCCCCCCCCCCCACCTTCCCCCCGCCACCATCCCACGGTCGCCGAACTGCGCCCATTGGACGTAATACACAGCATTTCAAGATTTTCCACTCCTCTTTTCCCTTGAACAAAAGCTCACGACTCAACCCCAGCACTAAGTCAACCCTGGCCATAGCACGGAGCCATAAGTTGAACAGATGAGTCGATATCACAAGAATGCTGAGTTAGGGGCAAGCCAGACTTCAGACGCGACTCAAGCTCGCATCTCCGGTTTACCGGGCGGTTGCACTACCCGTTACGCTTCTGGGCCGCTCTTACCCTCTCAGTTCAATAACTTTGTGCTGGAAGTGTAAGAGGGCCCCGGTAGATCTCTTGATTGTTTTTTATCGACATATCTGCTGATTTTCGTTCCCCTCAATATCAAGGGCTGAACAACTTGAATTCATGCAGAATGTGTGACAACGCTTACCTGTAGTGATGGAATGTTTAAGCAGAACCTTTGACAGCCAAGTTTAGGGAGACATGATTGGTCCTAAAAGATTTCGTAAATTTTTGAAATTTGTCAGACGATTCAGGAAAGTAAGCACAAACCTGGCCACATCCACCACCACCACCACCACCACAACAACCGCATCCACCGCCACCGCCACCACCGAAAAGTATTGCGGAAGTTCCAAAAACAATAGCTGCTAGCAGCAAAACACTCCTCTGAATAAATGCCTCATTAGTGCTACTATCTTCACGAAACAAACAAAGAATTCAAAACGATTATTTGTTGAATTAATGGTCAATTTTTCTGATATAGTAAAATGGCAAGGTTAATTGAAACCTGAAACGCATTAAAACAATAGTTTTGAGAAGAATTGAGAGAATACTATCAGCTGAGCTCACCATAGTTGTGTGACTAGATACGGGAGATTAACTGTACGTCACATTCATTTGCCGGTATATATAGGGTTCCGGGATGAAGCGGCCTTACATGGGTGGGTGGGACTGGTCGCGGGGGAAAGAGAGGCGGTTCGGATACCACCACCATACCAGTAACACCCGTAGATCAGTCGGATTTGGCGATGTTGCGTCATCCGCGCTGATATCGACAGTCCAATAAACAAAGGACTAAAACAAGCTTTGTGTTGTGATATACGGGCTAAGAATTGCAAGCGCTAATCCGCTTGGGAGGGCCTTTTATAGATTTCATAAACATATAGGACAAGTCTGCAAATTCCTGAACCCTCTTGTAAAGCTACCAAAGAGTACCAGTTGCATTTCGTGTAACAAAGCGCGAATGGTTGCAAATGGAAAGTCCTGTTACGCCAAAGTAATCCACGGCCGCTTAGAAACAAGTCGAGCTAATCAGAGGACACAGTTGCTATTAGCAGCTTTGCGTCTAAGCTTTAGCTATGAAGAGCTATCTCAGTGACAGTGAAACTTGTTTCTTGTGAGGCAGTAATATCTAGAAGTGAGCAAAATAAGCTGAGAGGTAGAAAACAGTGGGTACAAAGTCATGCAAAAATCGTCCTGCACTGGTTCACTTATGTTGCCTTACCTTCCTGCTCCACATAAATAAACTTCGACCTAAAATATAATATGACCTAAAAACCTGAAAAACCTGAAAAGCTAGATCTGAAGAACTATGGCACTGGTCGACAAAAGTGAGGAGGCCGAGAAGGGGATGGTTGGGCAGTTTAGTAGTTCCTGCCTACATGGCTCTCAAATATGTAAGGGGCCCTGGAAATCTTGTAGTGGTGCGATATGCGAAGCGCTTCATTCTAGGACATTCAGACATCCAGAATCGCAAACCGTAAACGACAAATGTTTTTTTGTCACCTTTTTCAATAGTCCGAACAGGATATATACACAAAAGAGTTAATTCATCCAAAGTGGAGCTCTTTCTTCTGAGCTTGGGCAAGAATCCTAGATTTTCGGTTCACAGTAGCTCATTCCTTGGTTCTCTCCAGCGCTAGCGCTGCCCCGACATGAGACAATGAAGAAATTTCACCAAAAATGGAGCTCGTATTTCCTGGCCTTGACTTCACAAAACTTCCGGGTCCAGACAAAATGCCTCGGCACACTGACAGGAATGAACAAGAGGTTGCCCACCGTTAGCCGACGTGTGTCAATTTTCAGTTGCCTCCGTTTACTAGTGCTCATTTGGCCGCTTTACGTGGACGTTGATACCTGTCACAGCGAAAAATTCGTACTCGTCCGTATGGATAATGATCATGCTGAGTGGCACATTCGTGCACTTCACGAATTTCTTCTGAGACACACAGCGAGCGGAGTATCGACTAGCTTGTTAAGAATGGATATGAGGCGAGGGTGCTGTGTTCATGGTGTTGTGTTCGTAAAGCCTACAGCGCAGCGTCAAGAGATGTAGCAGATTCAGCCCGAACTAGCCTCAAAAGTCAAGAGTCAACCGAAGATTCTTCCTTTTATTGTCTAGAAAATATTATCGGTTGATCCACCTTTACGCAGCTCTTGCAAGTGCAACCCTGTAAGCCTAGATCCTTCTGCAGGCGAAGGTTGCTCTGCTGCACGTCAGCTCCTGATTACACTTGCGAAAGAAGTTCAGGAGACCACACAAAAGATTACTTACTTTTTGTCGCTCGTTCTTTCTGAAGGGCTTTGCGCCAACTGCCACCGACTAGCTTGCCGGTTTCTTGTTGATTTTATGGAGGAGAAGAACAGCGAAATCGCGGCAGCGGCAACAGCGTTACAGAACAACGCCACCTATGGTTGTCATCGGGTACAGTGCATCTCTGGGAGAGAGAATCAGCTCATTTGCGAATAAGCTGACGGAGTTTATTTTGAACTTGTCGGAAACGTGCAATATTCCGGAATATGGAAGCGGGCAGGAAAGAACGACTTGCTCATGATGCTCACCAGAAGTCTCTCAAATTAAACTTCTCCGACTAGCGAAGTACCCATTTCCCTCCTTAGGTAAAGCGGGTCCCAAGCGCCAAGGACTTGCCCTCGAGTGCGTGCATGAGGAGGCGAGCTGCAAATTGGTTATCTAGAGGCTCATAGCCGTCCCGTCCTGATCATGTCAATGTACTCTAATTTTCTGGTCTCTCTCTAGCGCTATTAAAACCCGTCTGCTTTTCGCAACTTGCTCGAACTTGGCCATCATATCATATCATATCATAGGCTATCATTGTGCAATGGCCAGCCCTATTAAGATCGAAAGCTTTGCTTTCTTCCTCACTACTATATTTCCGAGCACAGCCAATTTTATTTTCAACAGTAAGCTCCATTGTCTAAGAATTACGGATGTCTGCAAGTAGCGGGTTGAATGCTACTTCAGATAGTCCATTTCTTCCGATAATGGTACAGAAGTCTTTCCGTAGACGTGGGAATTCCATTAGCTGGCGTGCAAACAAATCGTTAACCATAACAAGATTGTCCCTAAATTCTGCTGCTGCCTTCCGCCATCAGTATAACAGCTTTCAGCCACTTGAACGAAGACCCCCTACTTTTGTTTCAACCATTTCGGAACCAGATGTTTCAAGCTCACAAGAATACTATAGGCTGAGCTTCGTGCCAACGACTCGACTTACGGTTACGGGCTGTTGTCAACCAGACGTGCTCTCGCTGCGAGGGTCCAGGGTTATTTTCACGAGGCATCTACCAGTCCAGTAGTTGAAGGGAGAAGGTAAAGGAGGAGATCAGAGAAGGGAGGAAGGAAAAGAAGGAAGGAGGAAGAAAAGGAAAGACAAGAAGCTTTTCAGTTGACAAGTACCATGAGACGCGTCGGCTAACATGTGTTCATTAACTCACATTATTTGTATCTACGCTGCAGTAACTGCCACCAATGGCGAGTTGAAACTATCCGTCTGAACGCAAACTTCAACCAACACAACCAGTACGCCGGAAAGTCTCCTTGAGTACTAGTTCGGACTTGTCTAGGAGTCGGTGTAGGTCTGCCTGGCCTCCAGGGGTCGACCCAACTCAACTACAGGGGGGGCCAAAAAAAAGTCATTTCGGCCGAGCCACATATCAACGAAGTTTTCGCAGCCCAGACAGGGGAAGTGGATATGAGTACCAGAGTGGAAGATACCCAAGATCTTCCTCTATAAGCTGGAGCACGCTGCCGCCAATCGCCTTCATGTACGCCAAAATATGAAGTCATCTCCAGTCGCGGCCTGACTGGAGAACACCTTTGGAATTCACGTCGCCTCCAAACAGCTGCGAAACTTCT